TACCACTACTACTTGTAGTACTGCTACGACTACGACCACCCATACTGCCACTACTACTGCTGTTACTATTACTACTATTATTATTACTACTACTACTACTACTACTCCAACTGCTTCTACGACTATCTGTGCTAGTTTCACTAGTAGTAGTTGTACTGCTACTTCTCATACTAGTACTACTACTACCAGTACTATCGATAATACTGCTACTACTATTGTTAATGTTACTACGACTACTGTTGCGATTACTTCTGCGACGACGGCTATTACTTCTACTAATACTACTGCTACTACCTCTATTCCTAGTATTACCACTACGCTTACTACTGCTACTACTACTACTACCACTGCTACTACTACTACTGCTACTACTACTACGACTACTACGACTAATACTACTACTACCACTACTACTACTATGCAATAGCTGTCACTACTTCTAGTGGCAGTAGAGTCACTACCACGTTTAGTACGGCAGGTATCACGGCTGTTACTACCACAGTCCATGCTACTGCTACCACAACCACCACTGCTGCTACTACTACTACTACTACTGCTACTACCACCACTACTACCACCGTGGCTACTACCAGTAGTAGTAGTAGTACTAGTGCTACTACCACTGCTACCACCACACCTACTATTACTACGCGTACTACTACCACCACTACTACTATTTCTACTACTACTACTACTACTGCTACCACTACTACTACTACTACTACTGCTACAACTCCTATCGCTACTACTGCTATTACTAGTCATTCTACTATTACTGCTGATACTACCACCAACGGGAATTCTCGCACCGCTACTCCTGCTGCTACTACTGCCGCTACTCTCCCTGGCCGCGCTGTTTCCACCACCACCAGTACTACTACGACTACTATTACCGCTACTACTACTACTACTACTACTACTACTGCCACTACCACTACCGCTACCACTACCACTACCACTACCACTACCACTACCACTACCACTACCACTACCACTACTACGACCACTACCACTACCACTACTACGACCACTACTACGACCACTACTACTACTACTACTACTACTACTACTACTACTACTACTATTACTACTACTGTTACTACTACTACTACGTCTACCCCTACTACTGCTACTACTGCGACTAGTACTATTACTAGTACTACTATTGCTGCTGCTGCTCGTAGAATTGCCGATGCTAGTATTATCATTTGTTTTACGATTACTACCAAGATGGCGAGTACTAATGCTACTGCTGGTGACGCTACTACATTGTACGGTGACGAGTATCATTACAAGTGCTACTATTACTACGAGGACGGCACATGTTGTCATACGTTTACGGCTGATACTTCGATTATCTATTATTTTTACTACTTTTCTCTTGCTACAGCTAGTTCGACGACGTTAATTCTTATGATACGACTATTACAACCGCTACAACTTCTCCGACTACGGTCAACTACTTTTGACTATTAGACTCATGTTTCAGTACTAGTACTACGACAACTACCACTACCACTTGTACGATTCCTACGACTACGACGACTACTACTACTACTAGTACTACGACTAGTACTAGTATTATTACTACTACTACTACTACTACTACTACTACTAGTACTACGATTATTACGACTACCACTGGTACGACTAATACTACCACCACTACTACTACTACTACTACTACTACTACTACTACTACTACTACTAGTACTACTACTACTACGACTACTACTATTACGAATATTACTACTACTACTACTACCACTACTACCACTACTACTACGACTACTACTACTACTACTACTACTACTACTACTACTACCTGTACTAGGACTACTACCGCTACAACCACTACTACTAGTTCTACGACTTCACCACTACTTCTATTACCAGCGCTATTACCATTATTGCCACGACACCCACTATTGCCATTACCTCTACTGTCACGGCTACCAGTACTACTACCATTTCGACGACTACCACTGCTACTACACTTCCTGCTACTGCTACTACTTCTGCTACTACTATTATCACTACTACCACTACGACTACGACTACTACTGCTACCACGACGACGACTACCTTTTCTACTGCTACTACTACGGCTACAACTACAACTACAACTACAACTATTACGTCTACTGTTATGTACGACCCCGAGAACTACTGTTATTTGAATTACGGCTACTACTACAATTATTCTACCTTCACGATTTCGATCAGTACTGCCACGATTACTACGACTACGTTTACTTCTACTTCTACATGTATCACTACTGCTACTATTGTTATTTCTACTACTACGACGACGACGGTTATGCTTTTTATAACGACAACGACAAAGACGACAACTATCACTACTACTACTACTACTACTACGACTTCTTCTACTACGACTCCTTCTACTACGAGTGCTTCTTCTTCTCACTACTACGACGACTACTACTACGACGAATACTACTACTACTATTACTACTACTATTATTACTACTACGCCACTCCTACTACTACTACTACTACTGCTACTACTACTACTACTACTACTACTACTACTACTACTACTATTACTACTACTACTACTACTACTACCACCACCACTACTACTACTACTACTACTACTACTACTACTACTACTACTACGACTACGACTACTACTACTACTACTACTACTACTACTACGACTACTACTACTACTACTACTACTACTACAACTACTACTACTACTACTACTACTACTACTGATACTTGTGGCACTGCTACTTCTACTGCTACTGCTACTGCTGGTACTACTGCAACTACTACTTCAACGACCAGTACTACCACTGTTGATGCTACCTGCTCGTCCTCGTGCTCCGTCCGTTCCTCTCTCCGTCCCTCGCCCCCTCCTCATTTCGGGCACCGCTGGCGGCATCTTTGTGCGACAGCGCGGCAAGGCAAAGCTACGTGCGCGCGCTGCACATGTCGGGTGACGCCGCACGCGGCCCGGTAGGTGCGTGCAAGACGGAGAGGCGTGTGCGGCTTTGTGGTGTGTGCGATGCCCGCCCAACACAACAAGCATCTCCATCCCTCTGCCTGGTAGACAGCTCCCGCTCGTCGCATCGCCAGACGTGCCGCCATCCCTGTAATGAAGTCGCGCCTTGTCTCTTGAGATCTCCCCCCCAATAAAATCACGCAGCTTGCAAAATCTATCGCCTACACGGATGGAGGGCGAATTCCGTTCTGATTGTTGGTCTCGCCGTAGCGCCGCGCACATCCGTCAGCGCACATCCCTCATACATGTCCGCACCATTTGAACATGGAGGGCGGGCCGTTTTCCACTGTGGCTCTCGCACTAGCGTCGTGCACATTCGTATTCACTTATTCCAGCAGCAACTACTCGATCGGATGGCGGTTCCTTGTCAAGATGTGGTCCCCGTGACAACGCCGCGTGCCTTCGGTTTAAACGATTCCAGCAATTACGCGGATGACGGCCTGATGTTTTCAACATGCTGTTCTCGCTCGTGAGTTTCCTTGCACAGTACGTACGACTGCAAGTTTGACATCGCACAGCAAGTCACACAATGAGCGTGGCTATGTTTGGAAAGGAGGGTCTCGCTTGAGATATCATCCCTTGTTCTGATGGCTAGAAGCTCACAGCTGCCCAAGAGGTTTACGGATGGAGGTGGTTCCAAACATGGGCATTCGCCAGGCGCTGGCTTGAGCCTGGATGAGACGCTGGGTGGGCGGATCCTTCCCAAAAGCAATGCTTTGTCGCCAGAGCTGCAGGCCCATGGGGAGCTCCGGGCCACATTCCCCCTCACGGGTAACGCTAACTCGCGGGCGATGTTTCTCCCCCAATCCCCGAGTTTCGCCCGAAAAGTCTGGCCGCTCAGAAAAAGAGGGAAACCCTGGGATACACCCCAAGGGGGCTATTCGGACGCACCCCTGTCGAGAATGGACACCCCCCCATCGTATATCCCAGGGTTAGGCCCCAAATTTCTGGTCCATTCGGAAACCCCACGAAGCCTGGGATAGGGGTCGACATATCCCCTGTTACTAACGATGTTATTGGGTGGGGGTGACCTGGGCCCGTGGTGCACACAGGCGGTTGAGGCGCCGGTGGCGCGAGGGCGCACCCAGGCGGGTGCTCGCCGTGGCCGCCGTTTCCGTGACTCGCCCGCCCGGCCCCCTCCGGTGACGACCGCTCCCCAGAGGAGGCAAAAGCGCGGTCACCCGCTCGTAGTGAAGCTGAACGTTGTGCTTGCAGGGAGTCCTGAAGAGGGGACTTGGACTGTGCGGGGGTGTTGCCGCATCGTTGCTTCACCACGTGTTTTCGTCCTCCTCACCCCCCTCTCCTTCGACGTCGCAAGTGTTGTTCTGTGACGCTTGGTCCCTGGGGATCTCGGCTCTTGCCGGAGGACCCGCAGACAGACGTCGCGGTTGGTCCGAGACGCCCGCAGCACGAGGTCCCTGGCAAGGCTTCGGGCCGCGCGCCGACGGCCCCCCCGGGACAGCCCCAGCTTGCCCGCGCAGGCCTCCCGAGTGGCGGCCAGGGTGGTCTCGACTCCTCGACCCTCGGGGCACGCAGCGCCCCGGCCGCCGGAGGTGGCGCCAGAGGGTTGAGGCCGCCCTGGTGTCTGCTCGGGCGGGGGCCCTTTGAGGCCGGCCAGGATGATCTGAGGAGGCTGTCTGTGCGCAGTCCGAAGCCTCGCCGGTGCTCCTCCCTCCCTTCGGCGGCGAGCGAGGGGGGGGGAGTGAGCAGGAGAAGGCCTCCTCAGGAAGCGGCGGGACTTGCCAGAAGCCCTCGCGCGTTCCCGGAGAAGTCCGCTGTGCCTTCGGGAAGGCGTAAACAACTCTTCAGAAGGCCAGGGGACCTCCGAACCTTGTGAGAAGGCCGTCTCCTTCTCACTTCCCCCCCTCGCTAAAAAAACAATATAAAAAACTCCCCCCCCCCCCCTCGCTCGCCGCCGATCCCTCTCTTCCTCCCCCCTCCCTCTTCGCCTCCCCCCTGGGCGCAGGTCCGGCTCCCGCCTCATGTGCTGGACCTCTCGGCACGAGCTCTGGGGCCTGGACGTGGCGCCCGGCGCCGGCGCCGGGCGCGGCCGGGAGGAGCCCGCGGAGCAGGGTGCCCTCGGTGCGCCGCCTCGGTCCTCGTCCTCGTCCTCCTCGTCGTCGTCGTCGTCCTCCATGTCCTCCTCGGTCCTCCTCGGTCCTCCTGCTCCTCCTCGTTCTCCTCGTCCTCCTCGTCCTCCTCCTCGTCCTCCTCCTCCTCCTCCTCCTCGTCCTCCGCATCATCGTCCTCATCCTCCCCTTCTCTTCGTCCTCCACCTGCAGCAACAGGCTACGCATCAGGCTTGTCCCCAAGCGAACGGTGCCCCCCAGTTGGCAGCCCCTATCTTGAACCCCAAGGACTGTCCAATGGCGGTCCGCTCGTAGACCTGGGAGATTGGTCAGGTATCCTCCTCCTCCTTCCCCTCCTCCCCCTCCTCCCTCCCTCGTCGCCGCCCTCCTAGTACCCCTCCTTGTCTTCCTCGTCGTCGTTCTCGGAGCGCGTTGGACAAATCAAAGCTCCACCACACAGTGCGCAGCGGGCCTTTGGGGAGGGGAGCGGAAGGATCGATCGAGCGGACTGAGTGTGGCCGAGGGAAGCCGATACGCGATCAATGGGCCACCAGATCACGACCAGATGAGAGGTCCGACCAGAAGCGGATCCGAGGGCCGATCTGCTGGCCTGACTCCGAATCTCTGCCTCGGCGTCCGTCTGCTCACCTTTGGGGCTGTCATCGTGCAAGTCTCGTCGCAAGTCACGCGACGCCTCCAGGTGGCTTTTCACCATACGTCGTCCTTGAGCCGTCCCTTCCAAAGTTGAGAGGGGTATTGGGTTCTCTTGGCTGAGTGGTTCCTTCGAAGTCGACGGGTGCTCTGGGCTCTTGGCTGAATGCATCCCCGCCCGCACGGCTCGATGCGATGGCTTCAACTTCGGAGGGCGGCGGCGAGCTTCCCGCGTCGCGACTCCAGTTTTGTACCCGGGCTGTCCCTTGCCTGTGCCTTTGGAGGGCGCCGGAGCCGACTGGCACGGGCGAGCCAGCGCGCCGGCGAGCCAGGGGGTCGGCGCTTCGCCAAGGATCCGTGCTCTTGGTCGGAAACTGGAGCATATACATTACCACTGGCGGGCTGTTTTTCAATCCTAGGACTTTTTGAGGGTCGGGGGGGACGTCGGGGTGGTGTGGTGTATACTTATTTCCCTGTTTTTCCAAGGGAACCATGACACAATATACACCAGGATCCCGTATACACCAGGAGCCGCTTTCGTGTGCGAATGTCAGTGCGGGGCCGGCAGCAAGCGTCGGTATATAGAGTTGAGCTCCTTACCTGACCGCGTGCATGTCCTGTCTCAGAGGAGGGAAATGTACCTGTACTGCTACCCTTGCCCTGCTTTCTGATTTTGTGGGACGCACCTCAGGAGATGTCAGGTGAGTAGGGGATATCTCGGTACCTTTTCTTCACCCCACCGCATCTTGCCCTTGCCGTTTGCCAGGGCTGCACACTTATTCGGCGTCACGCAGAGTGGGTGGGGCGCGAGGGGGGCAGCCTTCTAAACATGCGGGCGGGGGGCTTCTAAGAAGGCAATGGTTCCTCTTGGAAGGCCCTGGAGGCTTCTAAGAAGCCTGATCAGATGCCTGGAGGCTTCTGAGAAGCTCCCTTTCTCGGACGGGGCTGGGACGAGAAAAAGTCCGTTCCGGAGCGTTTCTGGACGCTCTCATAGCGTTCCGGAACGCTCCGAGAAGGCCGCGGCGCCCGAGACATCTTCCAGAGCCGCCGGATCGCAGAGATTCCTGAGTTTTCCTCATCCGATGTTTTGCTCTTTCAGGGATGGATCTAAACGCTGTTTTGCTGGACTTCGGCTGTGTTTTGTTTTTCTTTTGGGGAGGTAGGTACAAGTAAACAGTTAGAGCAAATCGAAACTCAATACGAAAACAAAACGAACAACAACGTTTACGTCCAGCCCTGTGCCCTTTCCTTCTTAGCAGACCCCCCCTGCCTTCTCAGAATGCCGCCCTTCTCGCGCCACCACTTTGCGCGCGACGCCAATCTGTACCTACGGAACCACCCTTCGGGTGATAAGAGGGTTTGGCGGGGGGGCAGCTTTCGGCATGCCATTGGCGTCCGATCGGGCTCGCGATCCTTCAATATGTTGATATTGATCTCCTCGTTTGCTGGTCCACACTTTCGATTGTTCGATCACATGATACATGTATTCGTGTGTATCTACGGACTTACAAAACATTATCGTAATGATGAGGCCGAGTTGTCTTACACCGTCTTTGTGTGCGTGCTTGAAGTGGGCTTCCGCGTTGAGAGTACTTTTAATCATACTTGTTGTTTTTATATTGTTTATTGTTGTCGCCCGCGACCCACCCGCGACCCGTCTGCGATCCGCCCGCGACCGACCAGCGACCCAGCCGCGACCTGCACGCGAGCCACGCGCGACCCATCCGCGACCCATCCTCCCGAAGTTGGCGCTTGCGGCGGGCTCGTACCGCGGGCTTTTTCATTCAGAGCCTCACAGACTGCCGCCGGCGCCTCACTCTTATCCGCGATTGCACGGGTTATGTGTGTATGTTATGTATACGTGCGCAGCTATCTTTCTTTTGAAACGTGCTTACGATATCTGTATTAATCGACCTCACTGTTTGTATATCGATGTCACTATCTAACGACGGGACAACCACGGTCCAACCGCCGGACAAACACGGGACAATGGCGGGCATCAGCGGAGCAACCATGGGACAACTATTTGAACACCATGGGACATCCATCCAGAACCTTTATCCCTTTCTCAATGCAGTCATTAATGCCACTTTCTGTCGAATCACGATCCAATGACTTCACGACATGTATTTCAGGTTCTCCCTGTCTATCTATCGATGTCGCTACCTATCTATCTAGGGGCCTTCAGCCCATCCCGTTTCCGCGCCTGGGTTGTAGGCCAAAGGCCTCTTAGACGCCTGTTGGGATATATTGGGAGGCCTCTCGGAAGCTTCTTGGATGCATTGATGCTGTCTTTGGGCCTCTTGAGGACCTCTTGGTGGCCTCTTCGCGGGCCTCCTCGGGGCTTCCTTGTCTGCTGGCGGTCTCGGGCTCCGGGAGGCCCCACGAGAACCCGAAGATGATGCTCGTTTCGCTCATGTAAGTGCAATCGCGGCTTCAGCCAATCGGATCAATGATATATCTCCCAGTGGCATGCCACATGTCGTACACAAGTTGAATATCCAGGGCGACCATCGGTCTTTGCAGTGTTGCGCAGGAGGAATCGCAAGCTCCGGTCCCATCAGCGCAGCGTGCTGCAATCTTGGGCCTAGGCATAGCCGCGGATTTCCGCCCAGGCACTTGTGCCTCTAGTGACCCCCCCCTCCCCAAGTCAAGCTCCGCTCCACCGACGAATCAATGCTGCTATTGCATTTGCGCTGTTGTCTGTGTTGCTGGGGACCAGAGGTGCCAGGTGCATTTGGTGGGCCATTCGGACGCCCCCTCGTCGCTTGTCCCTCTCACTAATCTACGTTGCTTCTGAGTGTCCACAGCTTGGCACACTATCATACAAAATAAACGCGGATTGACGGTTCTGGCAGGCAACAGCATTTCGGTTGTATTCGATTGGGCCCGGCGTTATGTCGTTTCCCACGCCTCGCATGGCAAGACAAAGGCCATTCGACCTGCAAGATTGCTCCATCCGAGACATGCCAACCGTTATAAACACCAGCCCTTTTCGATCACCCGTTCATGCAAGAATTGATGCACCATCGCCAGTCCAACTACTGTTGGTTGCCTTTCTTTGGTCAGAAGCACCAGTCGGGCAGCAACTTGGATGACCTTCCCCCGCGCCCAGGTCATAGATCCACATGTCCGTAATACACACCAGTTTTTGTATGAATCGCGCAGCGCGAAAGCACGAATTTTGGCCATCTAAGTATCACTTTGCAGCCCTTGCTGCCCAGGGCACTGTTAGCGTGCAACTCCTGGGAGGCTGATTTCAGTATTTTCCCTCGGTTTCCTTGGAGCCAGTCGGGCCTAATCCCGCCGACTGCGGCCCAAGCTAATCGAATACGGCGCAGTTCAGCTCAATACGGCCTCGCATCCTGCACAATTCAGCTCAATCGCTCCTTCATCTGGCCTGGTCCTGCGCACTCTCGCCTGCTCTTCGCGCCGCAAGGTGACGAGGAGGAGCCCGTGCGTGGGAAGATCGCCAAGGTCTTCGGCGACGGCATCGAGGGCGCCAAGGCCTCCTTGTGTTCGCGGCCCCAGATATCGTTCTGACCAGCGGAAAGGGGGGAGCACAGGTCCCCCTCGACGCCACGGCTGGACACGGACCGAAGCAGATCTCAGTTTTGACCCTGGAAGGGTTTGGGGACCGATTTTGAGTTCATTTGCCCTCATTCCCCCCCTTCTTCACTTCCCCTTCTGTCGGCATCTCCGTCCCAGGCTCCCAGGCCGCCCCCAAAGTGGACGCCCGTCCACATCTGAAAAGTTTCATACCCAGACGGGCCACCGTAGGGGTATACGCTTTTTGGACGCCCTGTGAGGGACGTTCCCGATGGCGGAGCAGCTTTTTCCCTACCTAGGCTCTGCCTAGAAGGGTTCTCACCCTCTTTCTTAAAGGGGCCGGGCAGTGGAACGCGCCCCGGGCGGTTCCCCCGGCATCCGCCCCGCGGTTAGCGTTGCTTATCTCATCTTATCTTAGCTTATTTCATCTTAGCTTAGCTTAGATTCATCTTAGCTCAGGTCCATTCCCTACCTAGGCTCTGCCTAGAGGGTTCTTACTCTCTTTCGTAAAGGGGCCGGGCAGTGCACAACGCCCCGGGCGGTCCCCCCAGTATCCGCCCCGCGGTTCCCCCAGTTGCGCCCCCTGGGTTCACCCAGCTTAGCTTAGCTTAGCTTAGCTTAGCTTAGCTTATATCATCTTAGCTTAGCTTAGCTTAGCTTAGCTTAGCTGTGCCTAGCCTAGCTTAGCTTAGCTTGGCTTAGCGTAGCAGGCTCAGCTTAGCTTAGCTTAGCTTGGCTTAGCCTAGCCTAGCTTAGCTTAGCTTTGCTCAGCTTAGCATAGCTTAGCTTACCTTAGCTTAGCGCAGCGCTGCATAGCGCAGCGCAGCATTAGCACATCATAGCATAGCATAGCATAGCATAGCCAAGCAGATCATATCACAGCTCATAATATCATATAATAGCATGGCATATCATATCATATCATATCATAGCGCAGCATATCATATCATATCATCGCATTGCTTAGCATAGCGCAGCGCAGCATAGCATAGCATAGCAAGTCATATCGTATCATTTCATATCATGTCATATCATAGCATAGCGCGGCATTTCATACCATATCATATCATATCATAGCGCAGCATATCATATCATAGCATAGCCTAGCATAACATAGCATAGTGCAGATGCAGGTGTATATGTTAATGTAGCTGTCGATGTAGGTGTAGATAATGGTTTCCTAGATGCTCCAACTCCTAGGCAGGGTCGCACTGGAATGATTATATTCTGGACTATTCGCGTAACCCCGGCAGCCCATCCAGAAACTATGCCCTGAGGAGTTGCCATGATCAGGGATGTGCAGAAGCATGCCGTGGAATAAAGGGCTGGGTAAGACGACATACCCCTAAGAGTGGGAGGATGGAGCAGGAATCGGAGGTGGAGGATGAGGATGAGGAGGAGGAGGAGCAGATGGAGGAGGAGATGGAGGAGGAGGAGGAGGAGACTGAGACTGAGACTGATATGAGACGAAGCCTAAAAATACCGCCCTGCCACCCCCTGATCAGGCCGACGTAGAAGACGACAAGGAACTGCGACCCGAATTGTCACTCCTGCGCTCCCACAAACCAGACCAGGCGACGTGAGCATGACCGAAGCCTTGACAAAAAAAGCCACCCACTGACCATCTCCAGGTAGATGAGGGAATGGTAGAAGACGTACACGGCCAAAACCGTAGAGATTGACGCAAGTTCAGCTGAGGTGAAATCGGCTCGATGCGTCCCTTCATTCAATGATGTGCTCAAGGGACACTGGTCATCGGGCAACCCCCAAAAGGGATCGCGTCCTCCACAGACAGCCCCACAATATCAATACAAAAGACCGTACCCGCGTACGAAAATGAATTGACCTCTTGATCTCGCCCAAGCCTCTGTGCCAACACATGGGTCGACAATGCACCTATAAGGCCAGAGAAAGTGACAGTGGACACGGCGGGATGGGGAATGTCCCACGAGCTCCCAATGCATACCAAGAGCCACCACTCCAGCACAACGCTTGAAATACGCCCAGGTAGCAGGCGGGTGGGTCAATGCCAGCGGCTCCCCCCATCGACCCTGCAGCCTGGGGCGGATGCCCTCCACGACGGTCGTGACAGCAGCACCCGCTCGCCTGAAATACGCCCAGAACGCAGGCGGGTGGGTCAATGCCAGCGGCTCCCCCCATTGCCCTGCAGCCTGGGACGGACCACGAAGTCGATGCACAGGAAAGCTTGGACATTGAGATACAAAAGGGCCCAGTATGCACCCGTGCAGCACGAAAGCGACGTGGACGAAGTAAACCACAAAGTCACACGTGGCCAGCACCGATGAGGAAGCTGCTGGGGAAAAAATACCTGCATGAATTTCTCTCGGTCTTGGCCAACCCATCGATAAAAGCAAGACCCACACCAGTGAATGCTGCAAACTCTCCAGGTTGCCACAAGCACGCCGCGATGAGACGCCGAGAGTGGCTGCATGACCGGTTGGAGCAGGAGGAGTAGGAGGAGGAGGAGGAGGAGGAGGAGGAGGAGGGGGAGGAGGAGGGGGAGGAGGAGGAGGAGGAGATGGAAGAGGAGATGGAGGAGGAGGAGGAGGAGGAGGAGGAGGAGGAGGAGGAGGAGGAGGAGGAGGAGGAGGAGGAGGAGGAGGAGGAGGAGGGGGAGGGGGAGGGGGAGGAGGAAGGAGGGATAAGGGAGGAGAAGGGAGGAGGGAGGAGCAGGGTTACGCGGCTGAGGAAGAGGAAGGGGAGGAGGAGGGCGAACAGAAAGGTCAGAGGCCTATTGGATGTTTCTCGGAGTCCCTTCGGATGTCTCTCGAGGGCTTCCTGTAGGCCTTTTGGATAGTCTTGGGGGCATCTTGGCGGTCTCGGGGGTCTCTTGAAGCGTCTTGGGTGCCTCAAGGAAGCCTCTCAGAGCCTCTTGGGGCCCTTGGGGTCTCTTGGGAGCCTGTTGGGTGCATTTGGGGGGCATCTTTGGGGCGTCTTTGGGCCCCCTGGGCGCCTCTCGGGGCCCTCTTGGGGTATTCTTGGGAGCCTCGGGGGGGCATCTTGGGGCCATCTAGGAGGTGATTCATCTAAGAAGGGGTGAGGGTAAATTAGGCCCCCCCCTAGGAGGCCAACATGTGGCCAGCACCTTAGTTCAATCGATGAATTTTGCCTTCTCGCCAAGGCCATTTTGGACGCTGCAACAAGTCGCGGTCTGCTCCATCCAGGTCCAGGGTAGGGGGTTGGAGGAGGGGTCAAGACACCCTTCCCGCCCGCAAGCCGTCTCGCTCACTCCCACCCGCCCTCCCGACACATGAGTAGGACCCGAGCCGCAGCATGGTCAATGGTAGTCTTTGGATGGACAGCTACTGGGAACCAAAACAGACCCAATGTGCGCAACGCTGGAGCGAGGTGCGCCAGGTGTGTCAGGCGTCCCACGCGGGCCAAATGCTCCAGGGACCCCTGTAGCCCAAGCGTGCCTGGCATGCCTGGTGGGCCGGATGCGCCACGTGATCCACGTGCGCCATGTGTGCATCATGCTCCAGCCACGCCATGTGCGCCACGTTCTGCGCACGAGCAGAGTGTGCCAGGTGCGCCTGCGCACGTGGCAGTACACATCGGGAAACGTGCCGGCCCCCACCACCCTTGTCGAAAGCCGGCACGCAATCGCAGCGGGGTGGCCATCACAGCGTTTGGTGGGCCTGCAAATAGTTGGCAATATGCCAGCACCCCCGCCGTCCCAGTCAAAAACCAATGCGCAATGATCGCGGGGTCCCCGCGCATGATCTAGATTTTGTCTCGAAGTGTATTGTGTATTGTCTTTGACAGAGATGGTGGCCCTGCGCACAGCAGTCAATGTACGGGTACCTCCACCGTCCCTGCCAAAAGACAGTACACAGTGGTCGCTGTCCGCCGGTCACGACCCAAGATTTTACCCCAAAGTGGGTTTCACACAGTTGTTTGACAGGGATGATTGGGGGGTGGCGCACTGGTCCTGGTTGGCTGCCAGTCCCCTTGGGGAGGGGGTGTTTATTAACAAGGATCAGTGATCAACCCATCCCGAAAGAGAAGAAGAGGGGGGTTGGAAGAGGAAGCTCCCTAAACCACTCACGCCCTATAGGGCTGGTGCTCCCAGCAACAAAGCAGTACAATCCGCCTCATCCTCCCCTCGTGTCTGGGCGCACGAATGTAAACATTGATGTCGCGACGGCCAGCGGTTCAGGTTTTCCAACTCCTGCAGGACGGTTCGTGGCCCCAGGGCCATCAGAACACGACTGGGACGAACAGTCGGCCCTGGGGGAGAGGTCGAGATCCCTGGCGCATCTACGTCACGAAACAAATGCGACGTTAATGGAGAAGTCTTTCCCCTCCTCGTTCCCTTCTCCCTCCCGTGTTCGCTCCCCACTCCCCTCCTCGTGTCCTCCCCCTCCTCCCTCCCTTTCCGTTCCCTCCTCCTCCTCGGGCCTCCTCATCCTCCATACAGTCTACGAGTTGGGGGTCTCCCCAAGCAAAGGGCATTTCCCCATGCAGGCCACGAGGCCTCTCCAGGACGACCAGCGGTATCGGTATCTGCTCCTCCCCTGAGGGCCGCCGCCTTTGCCGCAGCCGCCGTCGACACCGCCGCCGCCGCTGGTGGCCGACCCGCCGACCCGCCCACGCCGCCGCTGCCGCGGGCCGCAGCCGCTGCCGCGGGCCGGCGCCGCTGCCGCGGGCCGCCGCCGTCGCTGGCGGCCGCCGCTGCCGCAGCCGCCGCCGACACCGCCGCCGCCGGAGCGGTGGCCCACGCGCAGACGCGCCGGGCCAGCGGTAGGCCCCGGCCGCGGACACGCCCCCGAAGCTGCTCGCGCTGCCCACCCGCACCACCGCGGCGCAGCAGGCCGGTGCGGGCGCCCCAGGAGCGTGGGTCGCCGGCTGGCGGCGCACTGGGCGGCGCTATAGATGGGCGGCCGGACGGACTCAGCGGGCGGCCCTCGGCTGGTCGTCGTCGTCGTCGTCGTCGTCGTCGCGGTCGTCGTCGTTCCTAGCCCTCGATTAGCGGGCGGCGCTCGATGGGCGGCCCTTGGCTACCCAGCGGGTGGTCCTCGACGGCCCAGCGGGCGGCCCTCGGCTGCCCCCACCCCTGCTTGGCATCGCTCGGACGTGTGCAGCTTGTGTCGGCGAGGACCATCGAGGAGCATGTTGGGCCATCTGGCGAAAACATTCATACACGCACGAAGTCGAATCAGTGCACAGGGAATGGACGTCCGAGCGATGGCGAGCCTGGACCCCCTCGCTTTGTGAAACATTGGCGGTGGGGCGCCATTGTTTTGTGTGCGGTTGCCGAAGGGGTTCTGCGAGAGTTTTGTCATTGGGCGGGTCTGTGCTGCACGGATCTGATCATCTCTTGCATGTCAGACGGGAGTTTCGGCATTAAAGAGGGCCCTGACACTTTGTCTTATCTTTAGTACAGTCAACTAAGCACCCGTGGAGGAGGAGGTCGGAGGAGGAGGAGGAGGTCGGAAGATATGAGGAGGATGAGGATGAGGAGGAGGAGGATGTTTGCGGGCCGCGAGGCTCCAGCTGCAACGTATCTGCGCGGGGCAAATGCAGCCATGACCTGGCAATGGGAAAGTCCCCCAACCAGGAAAGAAACTAGAGTCAGGAGCTCTTGCGTGAAAACAGCCCCACCTCCTTCTCTCCCATGAGGTGAATGGAGATGCTGCTGCTGCTGCTGATGATGATGGTGGTGGTGGTGATGATGATGATGATTATGATGCTGATGCTGATGATGATGACGATGATGATGATGCTGCTGCTGCTGATGACGGGGATGCTGGTGATGATGATGCTGCTGATGATGTCGACGAAGATGATGGTGTTGATGATGAGGGTGATACTGGTTATGCTGATGATGCCGATGCTGATTGTGCTGTTGATTATGATGCTGATGATGCTGATGATGATGTTGCGCATGATGATGAGGATGATGATGCTGCTGCTGCTGATGATGATGTTTATGGTGATGCTGATGAAGATGGTATTGATGCTGATGATGATGCTGCTGTTGAGGATGAATGTGAGGGTGAGGATGGTGCTGTTGATAGGGATATCGATATTGCTGATGATGCTTATGCTGTTGATGGTGATGATGATGGTGGTGGTGGTGGTGCGGGGCGGTGTTGGCGGTGATGATGATGCTGCTGATGATGGCGATTATGATGATGCTGCTGATGATAGTGATGATGCTGCTGATGATGGGGTTGATGATGATGATGATGATGATGATGATGATGATGATGATGATGATGATGATGATGATGATGATGATGATGATGATGATGGTGATGCTGCTGCTGCTGATGATGATGTTGATGATGATGATGATGACGATGCGTCTGATGATGACGATGCGTCTGATGATGATGAGGCTGGTGGCTGTGGTGGTCATGATGCTGCTGATGATGATGTTGATGATGACGATGAGAAGGGGAGATGGAGGAGGAGGAGGAGGAGGAGGAGGAGGAAATGGAGGAGGAGGAGGAGGAGGAGGAGGAGGAGGAGGAGGAGGAGGAGGAGGAGGAGGAGGAGGAGGAAGAGGAGGAGGGGGAGGAGGAAGAGGATAATGAGAGGAGGAGGAGGAGGAGGGAGGAGGAGGAGGAGAAGGAGGAGGGGCAGATGGAGGAGAAGGAGGAGGAGGAGGAGATTGGGTGAGAAGGAGGAGAAGGAGGAGGAGGAGGAGGAGGGGGGGGAGGAAGAGGAGGAGGAGGAGGGGAGGAGGAGGAAGATGTCGGAGGAGGGGGAAGAGGTCGGAGGAGGAGGAGTTGGAAGAGGAGGAGGACCAGCAAGTAGAAGTTCTGAGTCGCAGTTGACGGGGTTTAATGTGGCAGCCCCCCCCCCATTGCCACGGTGGAGGTGACGGCTTGGGGGCCTTACGATTTTTTGCGGCCTGTGGATCTTCGCAGGCAATTTTCTCACGCAACGGGACCCATTCAGTCCTCTGGTAACGCAGGAGGATTGACCACAATTGTACCAGAACGCAGAGTGGCCACTCCAAGGCCACATGGTGTCCACCGAGCAGCGTAGAACCACTCTCAGGTCTATTGTGCACAGTGAGCGACTGATAAACATGAGCAGGGTGGTGAAATGAGAAGGCGCAGGAGTGGGAGCTAGCGAAGCAGGGGCAGAAGCAGGACTGGGAACACAGGGCCTCGCCGGGTGAACAACAGAAGAGAGGCTGAAGACGACGCTGAGGAGGACGGGGGGAAGGAGAAGCATGATGATGAGGGATGAGCGCTGGTACAGGGGAAGAGGACACATCGAGATGAGGAGGGGGAGGGGTAATGGGTTGGAGAAGGGGAGGAATGGGTTGGAGGAGGGGGGGACGGGGCAGGCAGCGAGGTATGTTTTAGATTGCGACGCTGTTGAAGCATATAGCCTGTCAGCAAATAGTGGCACGCAGCTTGCAGAGGCAATTCAGCACAGGCAGCAGCTGTACTAAACCTCGAGCTTCGAAAACTCTGCACGGGCACCTGAGGTTGAATATCAGTGCGCAGTGAAATTTTCAACCGTGGTCAGGTCAGCGGCAGCGGCACAGAGACGCGGGGCGGTCCTGGACCGATGCTGGAGACGCCCTGATCGCCAAGTCAGCTCAATCAAGGCTGTACACAATAAGAGGAGTACCCTCGACACGCGGGCACCGGCAGCAAGACGAAGTGTCGCAGACTAAACGAGTAGCTCTGCTCTCCTCTGCCTCTGCGCCTCAGCTCCTCACCCTGACGGGCGGAGGCACGAGTCCCCGGCGGGCGGGGGGGGAGGGACTGCACAAGCCGTGTTCTGACCTGAACAGCAAAACTTGGCGACGTGTGACTCCTCAAGGCTCGAAGCGAAAATCGTCGGCCGCTCGCCTCTCCCCCAAGGGTGCCCGCCGTGCTCGGCGCGGGTGGGCGGCGGCCGCACGCGGGCGCTCGCCGCTGCTCTGCCGCGCCGCTCGTCGCTCCCGGCTCCCAACCGAACTCACTCCGGCACTCCTCCCGGGCAGTAGCTCGCACTTCGGGAGAGCTGGTGATGTCCACCGGCAGAAATCCGAGTCAGGCCCCACATGATCTCTGCGTCTCTCCCAGGCAGAGGGGGGAGTAGGGTGTGGGTCGCGGAAGAGGGACGGGGAAGACATCGCGCAATGGCCCAACGGCCATGGAGAGTGGGACATGTAAGTGATTGGACTGGTTTGCGCATCTAGGTAGCTCACACAATTGGCCCACCGGCCATGCAGAGTGGGGGGGGAGAGTGGTCTGCCTGGGTGATGTGCATGGGCGAGGCCAGCAAACGCGCACACGTGATGCTGCTCCAATCCTCCACCCCGCTCCGTACCTGACCTACCGTCCCTCCCGCGAACTGATTAGTCACGCGCTTGGTCAAACAGCCCAATGCCGAATTCGGGCTGTAACGTTCAAAGGGCTATCCTCTTGGCAAGACGCAGCCTGCCACGCTCCCTGGCCTGCGCTCGATTGGCTGCAATACGCTGGCGCATAGCTTCGATGAGCTCGACTGGCTAAGGGGGGGCGGTGGCACGAGAGGGGAGGGATGGTAGGGACAAGGGTGCTCTGTGTCTTCTGGCAGCGGTATGCTGGTGCCTTCGACGAAGACCAAAACTTCTGCATACTCTTGCTCATCTGTAGCCTCCACTGGGCCTGGGTCCCAAGGTGACGCCTCGGGGTCGAAAACGATTCCTAGCTCTGTTGGAGCTTCTGCTTCCGTCGGCTCATGCGGCAGAAGCCTGTGTCGTTCGGGGTCCGATGGGACCCTCCATGTTCGAGGGGAAGCAAAGTCTGGGGCCCAGGTCTCGTCTGTCCCGAGGTATGGGTCCCATTCGACGTAAAACGCCTTAGCGACCCACGGCGCTCCTCCTCCTCCTCCTCCTCCTCCTCCTCCTCCTCCTCCTCCTCTCTCATGTCCTCTGGCCACAAATCGTCTTCACACCTTGGCCGTACGCCACGCCTGTCGAGCCCTGTCGAACCCCAGGAGCACCTCGTGAGCCCCACGGCCGTGCGAGCAGCGTCCTCTTCCTGGTGCCTCGCAGCAGAGCCTGTCCTGTAGTGTGCCATGCGTAGTGCCAGGGTGCGTGTAGATGCTCGTGCTGACTGACCGTGCTCGCACTGATCAGAGCCGGTCGCTGTTGAAGCAGGGGAGGCCATCACCGCTCTGACCGAGGGGCAGAGGCACGAGCCGACGGCCCCTGCGCGCGCCCACTCCCTGGCATGGGGTGCTCCGTCCAACAACGGGTCCCGGCAGTCAGGTGCGCTGCGAAGAGTTCGATCAGGGCTCCCAGACGCTCATTCCATACCCCGAACTGCTCCATCTGCCGTGGAGTCACGGCGAGGAGGCCCCGGAAGTCAGCGTGGAAGCGGAGCTCTGGGGGCCCTGTGCTGGGGGGCCTTTCGGATTGCTGACCACGTCTCGCATAGGGGGCCTCCCGCCTGACAGCACCACCCGTCGGGCACGAATGTGTTCCTTCCACGCCTCCATCGGCTCACGACGCATCCATGTTACCGAGTATGTACGGGGTCGATAGCGATCTCGATCGACAAGACACAGGCCGAAAAAAAACAGTGTTGTATTCGGTCCACTCGAGTGACGCCTGGATGTCCCATGGTCGTCGTCGACGTATGGCCGATGGTAGCGTCTGCGCAGCCCTGCCTGTGCACTGTTTGGTGAGGAACGTGCGCGTCGGATATCGCTCGTGCTGTGCTGGAGGGTATGGGGCGGTTTGGCAGGCGTCGCCCTGATCGATTGGCGACGGAGGGGGTTAGGAGTGCTGCGAATGCCTCTGGCATAAGACACAGGTTGCTTTCCAGTAGTACCTGTCTTGCGTATGCCTGTGGCACTAGCTCCGCCACGTCGGTAGCA